GAGTTACTATGTATAAAACACTTGGCACAGTGCCTGGCACATAGTAAGTGCTCAATAAATATTAGCTATGATTGTTATTATTTGGGATGGAGAACACATTAGATCAGTTGTTTCTAACACAAATGTGACCAAGTTGAAACAGAGGGTGATCTGCTTGTGACAAACTTCTCTCCACTTGTGGCTTCATGTATGGCATCTGGCCAACCATGTCAGTGACTAATTACTTTTTCTAAAATTTATTTTGGGACTTCCCTGGTGGCGCAGTGGTTAAGAATCTGCGTGCCAATGCAGGGGACAGGGGTTCGAGCCCTGGTCTGGGAAGATCCCACATGCTGCAGAGCAATTAAGCCCGTGCACCACAACTACTGATCCTGTGCTCTAGAGCCCATAAGCCACAACTACTGAGCCTGCGTGCCACAACTACTGAAGCCCACGTGCCTAGAGCCTGTGCTCTGCAACAAGGGAAGCCACTGCAATGAGAAGCCTGCACACTGCAACAAAGAGTAGCCCCCACTCGCCGCAACTAGAGAAAGCCTGCACGCAGCAAAGACCCAATGCAGCCAAAAAAATAAAAATAAATAAATAAATAAATAAAATGCTGTGAATTCAGAACACAAAGATAAAAAAATTTATTTTATTGAAGTATAGTTGATTTACAATGTTGTGTTAATTTCTAGTACTATTTACTCTTGCTGGTCCATGAACATCCTCTTAAGACTTTATGTGCCATTGACAAGAATGACAGTCCCAGCTAGAAGAGAGGGTTCCGGAAACAATTTCTGGAAACTCCAGACCAGCTCTCTGGGTCCATGTGGAGAAACTGTGGTAGTCAGCTCCCTACTCGGGGTGACTGTTTCTGCCCATTATTTGAAGAGGTGTGGTGTGTTTGTCCTTTTGTTCCAATTATGTATGGCTTCCACTCACAAAGTCTTCACATGGTCCAAGATGGCTGTTAGGTTTTCAGTCATTCTACTTACACTTGTATTTTTCTTAATGATTTATGCAATCTAGGTGAGTTAAGGAAATAAGTCCTTGTTTTGGGCATGTATGTTTTGCAAACATTTTTGCCAATTTATTATGTCTTTTGTTCTCAAATTGTTTTTCCAACAGGAAGAGAATTCTGCAGATATCTTTTCTTCACTTGCTATTCTACAGTGGATCAAGGAAAGCTTTCTAGAAAAAGTGACTTTAAAATTAAAACTCCAATGATCCAGCAATCCCACTCCTGGGCATATTTCTGGAGAAAACTCTAATTCGAAAAGATACATGCACCCCAATGTTCACAGAAGCACTATTTACAATAGCCAAGACATGGAAGCAACCTAAATGTCCATTAACAGATGAAAGGATGAAGAAGACGTGGTACAGATATACCATGGAATATTACTCAGCCAGAAAAAGAATGAAATAAGGCCATTTGCAGCAACATTGATGGACCTAGAGATTATTATTACTAAGTGAGGTAAGTCAGACAGAGAAAGACAAACATCATATGATATCACTTACATGTGGAATCTAAAATATGATACAAATGAACCTATTTATTAAACAGAAATAGACTCACAGACATAAAAAACTTATGGCTACCAAAGGGGAAAGGGGGTGGGGGAGGGATAAATTAGGAGTTTGGGATTAGCAGATACAAACTACTATATATAAAATAGATAAACAACAAGGTCTTACTGTATAGCACAGGGAACTATATTCAATATCCTGTAATAAACCATAATGGAAAAGAATCAGAAAAAGAATATATATATATATATATATATAACTGAATCACTTTGCTGTACACCTGAAACTAACACAACATTGTAAATTGACTATACTTCAATTAAAACAACAACAACAACAACAACAACAAACCCAATTCCATGGGTGAGAAGCACAAGCCTGGTGAAGAGCCGGGAAATTATGCTTTCGCCTTCAGTTTCTTAGTTTCTGTTGACTTTCGAATGAAGAAAGTGTGATCTGAGTTTCCATGCACCTCTTGCTACTGACTTACCTCTTTGGCCATTTCTGATCCCACACAGCTGGCTTGCTCTCGCTCCACCCTGGCTTCTATGGTCTGAATATTTGTCAACCACAGTTTCTGAGAAACTCCCTCAATCATGTTCTACATAAGTGTATTTGACATAAATTAATACCATGACTGGGATGCAGGAAAATTAGAGTTATGATATCTCATTTGTTTTTTTTTGTGACTTGATCAAATTACTCACTTTCCCTATAAAATTCCTACACTGTCTGCAAGAGTAATTAAAGCATTATATGAAGTAATACAAGGCCACAATGCATTGGAAAAAAATTTTTTTTTCTTTTTGGCAGAGGGTTTTGAATCCTTTATCAATATCCACCCAATTCCTATGTTGAAATCCTAATGCCCAATGTGATGGTATTAGGAGGTGGGGCCTTTGAGAGGTGCTTAGTTCATGAGGGTGGGGTTAGCGCTCTTATAAATGAGACCCCACAGAGCTCCCAAGACCCTTCTGCCACATGAGGACACAGTGAGAAGTCTGAGGCTTGGAAGAGGGTTCTCACCAGAACCTGAACATGCCGGCACCATGATCTTGGACTTCCAGCCTCCAGATTTGTGAGAGAGAAATTTTTGTCGCTTATAGGCTCCCAGTCTGCGGTATTTTGTTACAGCAGGCTGAACAGACTAGGACTCTGACCTTGACTAGTCCTTTCAGTGTAGCCCCTCCCCCCTTCAACTAGACTATCTCAAGGGTCTCAATTTTTTAGTCCAAGATGAGAATTTCCTGGGCTTGCTCATCCAGTCACAGGTGGGCTGGGTAGGTGGTTAGAGGTTCGATAATATGAAATAAGATGATGGCACCTCCCCACTTTTAGCCGGACCCGCAGGTGGCAGGCCCCCACGAGGGGTGCTGTGTGGGCATATAATGACTGACGGTTATTGTTCAGTATGTGCCCACGTCCCAGTCCTCATGCCAATGAAGGGCTTCAAGATCACTCACACACTGACCAGCTGGCTCAAGGAAAGTTATGCTGTGGGACAAAATGGTTCCTAAAATCTCAGCGGCAAAGATTTTGCCATGCATGTGGCATGGCCAAGGCTAACTGGCTTCAGGTCTGTCACACGTCTTCTCACTCCAGGACCCAAGCTGAAGGACAGCCCTGATCTGAGACATGCTGCTCACCTGGCAGAAGGAAGAGAAAGACAGTGGGATGACTCTTAGACTTACGTTTGGACATAGCATCTGTTATATCTGTTCACAGTCCACTGGCCAAAAGAATTCCATGGCCGAGCCTGAGGGTCATGTGGAGGGAGAACAGTCCTCCCAGGGGAAGAGGCTGTAAGTATTTTGAACAAATAAACATTCTCACATAGTTCATCCCAGCCAGTAGTATCATCAGTCCCATTTCGCAGGTGAGAAAACTAAGGCTAAAAGAGGTAACGTGATCAAGGTCATAGATTAGAACTCAGCTCCATCTGGCTTCAAAGTTGGTCTTTTCTACCACGCAGTCTCTTGAGATTTTTTCTCTTTTTACACTGTGTGGGTACTTGGGATTGTAATTTATTCAGGGCACAACCAACTCTCATCAGCTCCAGAAGCTTCTCCATGAAAATTTCTAGAGCTAACCCACCTTTGAAAGCTTCCTGGAAGGATATGGAGCTAGAAAGGGGTCAGGCTGGGGGAACTGTCCCCATGAAAGCCGACTCTATTTCATTTAGTAATTTTTTAACTGTTGAATTATTTATCTGCTTTATGGGTTTGTAGATGGGGATCACCTATCAATATTTGTTTTTGTTTTCTTGTGTGTGTGTTGGGGAGAGTGTGAGATCTTCAAAGCTATTTTCCAGGTAATTTTGGAAACTTCCAGATTGCATTGGATATTTATATGCACAAAAATGATGAGTGCAGTGGAGAAAGTGTAACCCATCTACTTCTGCGGAAGAGCAAAAACACAACTTTAGATTTAGAAACCCAGCTGCAGCTCCGTGTACCTTGGGGCGGGGGGGGGGCGGGGGGGGGGGTGGAGGGGGGGGGGGCAGAAGTTACAGCCAATAGAATACTTCGCTCTGTTTGTAAAGTATCTGTGATTTCTCCTGGGGCGGTGGTGGTGGTGGAGGTGGGGGGAGCAGAAGTTACAGCCAATAGAATACTTCGCTCTGTTTGTAAAGTATCTGTGATTTCTCCTGCCTTAAGTGCAGTCTTACCCATTTCGGAGCCTCTGGTTCCCAGGTGCTTCGTGCTGTCTGATAACACCAGGTAGGGTTGGATTTGCCAGGTTTACGTGTGTCCATCAGGGTGGGGATTAGGGTGAAGGCAGTGCGGCGCCTAGGACGCTCAATTTAAGGAGGCACTCGCAGGAACCCGAGTTCTCTTGCCTCCGGTCCCGGCCCTGGTGTCCACTGTGCCATAACTCCGCCGGCTGAAAATGCCCCGGGAGCGCTCTCTGCCCTCCCCTCCCAGACGCACAGGAGAGCCCGGAGAACCTCCCTGCCCTGTTTCTTGGCTCGGCCAGTGAGGTCGATGTCCAGGTGACCGTGTACGTGTGTCCGGGCCAGGCTCAGTGCGGAAGACGGAGAAGAGTGTGCGCGTGAGCCGGCGTTAGGCCGGGCGGGTCCATATCCGGGTGGACCCGGTGGGTGGGACCGTCCCTCCCTCCAGGTCCCGAGGTGGGTGGGGGTTGGGGAGTGACGCGCGGAGATTCCCTTTCGCACCTTGCCATCCGAGAGGGGGCGGCAGGGTGTGGATTCTGGGCGTGCCCACCCTGCGCATTGGCGCTGGGAGCGCCCCGAGCCCTGGGCCTGAGCGGCCGCGGGGACTGGAAAGCAGAGGAGGAGGAACCGGAGGAGGGCTTGCCGAACCGGCCACCCGCTCCGAACTTGCCGGGGAAACTAGTGCGGAGGGAGGGGCCGGGGCCCGGGCCGCGGTCGGAGGAGGGGCGGCCGCAGCTGCATCCAGCCCCGTTGGCTTCCTTCCCAGCTCTTCTTTGCCTCCTCCTACTCTTCCTCCTGTATGAGTCAGGCGTTTCCCGGGGATTTGGAGCAGCCACGCGCGGCCCGGGTGCCCGGAGCTGTAGCCGCTGCCGCGCCAGGAGCTCCAGCGCCGGGGTCGCCACCGCTGCGGGCACCCGCGTCCCAGGCGCGCGCGAACCATGGAGAGGGCGGCCCAGGGCGCAGACGGCGGCGGGGGCAGCAACAGCAGCAGCCGCAGCAGCAGCCGCGCCACCTCGGCGGGCTCCTCGCCCTCCTGCTCCCTAGCGGGCCGGGGGGTCTCCGGTCGGTCGGCGGCCGCCGGGCTCGGCGGCGGGGGCAGTCGCAGTAGCCCGGGCTCGGTGGCCGCTAGCCCGTGCGGGGGAAGCGGCCGGCGGAGGGAGCCGGCGCTCGAGGGCGTGCTCAGCAAATACACCAACCTCCTCCAGGGCTGGCAGAACAGGTAACGCGCCGGCCGCCCGCCCCTCCCTGCGCGCCGCTTGTTGTGAGTGTGAGTGTGTGCACGCGCGATCGGGCCGCCGGCGATCCGGGGCCGCCTCGGCACCCGGGCCCTTCCCAGGTCCCCGCTCCCCTCAGCGCGCCGCCACCCCACCCCGGGACCGCATCGCAGTGGCGGGGAAGGAGGGAGAGCCCTGGCTCCTGCTGGGACTGGAGCGGCGGGCGGGCGAGCGCGCTGGTCCCCGGGCCCTGACTGCTAGCGGTTTCCCGTACTCCTGGAGAATGGCTGAGGACGGGAGGCAGAGGGGGCGTGCTTGACGCCTGGATGAAAGAGCTAGTACATCTGGTCCCATCACAGCAATTCTCCCCATATCATAGTTCATTTAAAACTTTGTCGTTTAAAGACACCACCACCACCAGAAACCAGCCACTTATCCTCGGCGGCTTCCGGCGCGCATGCTAGCCCCCTGCCCAGTTGGTGGCCGGGAACCTCCAATCTCTGCGACGGAAGTTTAGTTTTTTTTTTTTTTTTTCCTTTGACACTCTCTCCCCTTTCGAAATGGCAGGTCGCTATTTAAATTATTATTATTATTTTCCCCCTTTAGGTGTTTTTTGAAGTTCCCTGCTCACTCTACCCTCACAGTTGGGAAGCCTAGTTATGGACACGTGGAAGGATGGGTGTCAAGGGAAGGGGTCGCGGTGCTGTGTGGACTGAGTAGTGAGAATAGTGAGGAACACTTGAAAGGAGCAGATGGGGTACTGCTGCTGACATTTTTAAACTTTGTTTTTCAAAAGCAAGTCAAAGGAAAATACAAATATCCATGCAAGGAGAATGGGGCTTTTTGGAGAGGTTGTTGATGAGATCTTGTGTCTGGTCCTTAATAGCCCTTGGATATTAGGACTTGGGGTTCTTAAGGATGCTTGTGAGATTTGAATCACACCCTGGGAACTCTTGCTTCTCTCTGCTGGTTAGTAGAGTACTTGGTCCTCTCTCCCTTTGTAAGTTTCAGATTGTTTACGGCTGAAACAGCAGGCAGTTATTTACATGAAACTCAACTAAGAGGAAGATGGAAGGTTCCATCCTAGGTATGGAGCCTGAGTTGATATTGTAGACAGAGAACTTTCACGGGGGATTCCTTGGAGATCTGCTACTGTGTTAGTGGAAGTTGCACCTTAACTTTTGAATCCTTTTATTTCTTAAAATAGCCCCAGTGTCTGCTCTTGCCTCTCCCTTTTCCCCTTCAATTCTTGGAGAGCTGAAATGATGGGTCGAGTGCTGAGAGGAGACAGATGAGAGGGCTGAATCTGATTTCAGTTCCTGGTAATTGTGTTGTTAATGGCACCTCACCATGCCTTGCTGGTGATAGCATTTGGTTTGTGTGTTGGACAGTCACCTTTAATGCTTTTTTTCCCAAGTAGCTTATGAGGCCAACAGAGCTTTTACCCTGGATTACTGTTATTTCACTTGGGGATGGCATTTTACCTGCAATGTATATTAAAGGATTTGTTCTTTGGAGTGGATTTAGGGGGAATTGGAGTAACTCATGCTTTTGTGTATCTAAATCTACTGGAGTATTTAGGTTGAAGGCCAGATTGAGAAGAGGCAAAATTTATAATAATGATAATAATAATAATAACAACAACAACACGTACTAGATTGCAGGCTACACAGGTGAAATGTACTGTGTGTGCTGCTGAGGTCTTATCTTTATTGAGTTTGTTTACTGTGGTTTATAGCTGCCTGCCAATGTTTGTTCTCATAGTAGATGCACCGGTTTTGAAGTCTACCACTGACTCCAAAAGCATTGTCTCTTTCTAATGGTTAATGTCTCAGTGTCAGGTTTTGTTTCCCACATCTGTGGCCAAGGGTCCATTTAGTGATCCGGAGAAAACCTGTGATGGCTGTGACTGCATACTTTCTTCTCAAGGGGTCTTATAAAGGAAGATCTGGATCAGTGAAAAGGAAGAGAGAGGAGGACAAAGACAGAAACTTTGAGAATATATTCATTTGTCCATTTAATTATTCAGAGGCACCATTCCAGCCACTCTGGAGCTACTCTAGTGTTTAAAACACATGGGCATCTTCTCATCAAGTAGTGGAGGGGTCGCAGGATTCAGAAGTGGAAGGAGCCCACCCATCCCCAGTCCAGGGAATTGCCTTGGTGCAAGTAGGTGGGCTGGGTCAAGCTCCCTGCATTTGGGGGCCTCATGGTGTGTTCCTTTGCAGTTCTTTTCAAATTGCCTGCACTTAATGAGAAATCTCCAGCCTCGAAGTCCTTGGTGATTGTTCCTAGTCTGCCATGCTGTTGATAACATCCTCCACCGCCTCCTAGGGCTTCACACCAGTCACCTGCTAGTCACCACTTTACTCTGGTGTCTGCTTACACGTCCTCAAGTTGCTGTAAAGCTTATATTTTACCATTCAGTGTCATATTCTACCTTATTTGTAGCACTCTCATTCTCATCCCCATGCCCTGAGGAAGGTGGTGTGGCCGGAACACAAAATAAATGACATAAACCGAGGTGATAGGAGGGAAAACTACACAGGTGGGACACGCTCAGGAGAGCATGTCCAGGACACTTGGCTCTCTCATTGGCTGAGAAAGTGTGAAGTAATCAGAGCTGGGGCAAGTGGGGAGGGGAGGGGAGGGAATACCCACTAAGGAGTTTCTATAATCCATTATTATAGTTCTTTAAAGAAAATATTTCAGACATTACAGCACGGTAGAGATTTGTAAGATGGCATTAAAGAGTAAATGCCTCTAAACAAATGAATACAATTTCAGAAAGAGGTAGGTGTGGTCCAGTGGTTAGGACTCTGTGATTCCACTGCGGGGGGCCTGAGTTCAATCCCAGTTTGGGGAACTAGGATCCCACAAGCTGCACGGCCAAAAAAAAAAAAAAAAAGATAGAACCAGCTTCTAATTCTTTTTCAGGTGATTGATGGGGTTGTGAGAACTCAGTAAAACACTGAAAAGCAAATCTTGAATAGGATAAGGAAAATGAGTGTTGGCAAAAGAAAACCTCAGGCCACCAATGGACATTTATTTGGAAAGTTAGAGCAGTGTCCTGACGTCAGCATTTAGCATACCGGTTACCTTGGGCCAGTTCCCTAATTGCACTGGGCTTTCGTTTTCCCATCTGTTAAATGTTGAAGATGGTGTTACCCCTGTGCTTCTCATTAGTTCAGTGTGGGGATTAAATGAAGACACCGGTGTATAAGGGGCTGAGAAGTGGGAGCTATTATTGGATCTTCAATTTTCCCCATGGTAAATGGACCCTTTCAGGTCCATAAAATTCTTGGTCTGTTTTTTGAATGCTGGGATGACTCTGGGACTCCATTAACGTAATTATCCTAGAGTTCTTTGAGAGGAGAGAGATCATTTAAAACTTGGAACCAGACATTTACATCTCTGTGGGAAGTGACTTACTCCCTCTTCCAGCCTCTAATCCCCATCTCCCTTCCTTGCTTTTCCTCCTAAACACTTAACCGCCAGCTGACATGCTCCGTATTTTACTCCTTCTGCACTAGGTGTTAGCTCCCTGAGGACAGAGAATAATTTCGCCTGTCTTGTTCACTGCTATTTTGCCAGTGCCTAGAACAGCGTGTGGCATATAATAAAGGTTCAGCAAGTATTATTGAATGAGTAAGCAAAGGAATGCATGACAGGGAAGAAATCAAACCAGGACTTAGTTCTGTTTTGGCCAGTGTTTGCTACTGTTATAATTCTTAGTTCTCTACCTGCTCATAGCCTTGTCCTTGAGTTAGTATCTTTATCATTTGTCCTGCTGTCTGCAACCATCAGTCTTTGTCTTCTGGGTCAGCAGACATGCCCACCCTGACTTCAGACCCACCACAACCCACCCAGGGTAGACATTTAGGGACTAGATTTCCAGGGCTTGCTTTTGTCTTGATCTGCATTAACATACTTTGAGAAGGTAGTGTTTAGCCTCCAGCCATGATTTCCCAGGATTTTGGGGCCACCTCTCCCATTTAGCAAAACCAGTAGGGGCATATATTAACTTTAAAAATCATACTGCATTAAAATGAATGGTTTTTGAGTATTCCAGTAGTTTTAGAGGTAATTGGTGGTGATACTAGGGTTGAAAATCACTGCTCTGGTTTAACGTTCTTGCCTCTGTCTACTTTGGAAGGTTTTGCACATCTTGCTGTCTGGGTTGTCAGATTGTTCTGAGGCTGCACTCAAATAGTTTAGGGACACTAGATCATTTCGTTGACAATAATAATAAAGGGGCGGTTGCTTAGGTTACAAAACTGCATATTACATATAATATATGTAATATGCATAATATATGCAATATATATGTTATAACCTGCTGTGTGTTAATCACTCCCTGCAGGATCCTCTCTTCCCCACCTTTTAATTATTTTATTATTATTATTTTTAAATTTATTTATCTATTTGGTTGCACCAGGTCTTAGTTGCGGCACGTGGGCTCCTTGGTTGTGGCATGAAAACTCTTAGTTGCCTCATGCATTTGGGATCTAGTTCCCTGACCAGGGATTGAACCTGGGCCCCCTGCATTGGGAGCACGGAGTCTTAACCACGGCACCACCAGGGAAGTCCCCTCCCCCACCTTTTATTTATTTTTTAAAAAATTTATTTATTTGATTTTTAATTTTTGGTTGTGTTGGTTCTTCCTTGCTGCGTGCAGACTTTCTCTAGTTGTGGTGAGTGGGGGCTACTCTTTGTTGTGGTGCTCAGGCTTCTCATTGTCATGGCTTCTCTTGCTGCAGAGCACGGGCTCTAGGCATGCCAGCTTCAGTAGATGTGGCACATGGGCTCAGCAGTTGTGCAGTCTCTAGAGCGCAGGCTCAGTAGTTGTGGCGCATGGGCTTAGTTGCCCCACGGCATGTGGGATCTTCCCCGGCCAGGGCTCAAACCCGTGTCCCTTGCATTGGCAGGTGGATTCTTAACCACTGCGCCACCAGGGGAGCTCTCCCCTGCTTTTAAAACGTACATGTATTTGAGGAGATTTACA